CACTAAAGGCCTCCTCTCTGACACAGACTATTATCACCTCCTATGGACACTACACATGACATAAACATCTTCACATCTGTGTTTATACATTACAGTCATGTGCAAACATTGTTTTTATACTTCATACTGTGAACTTTTGCACATCCCCAGAAGAATATTTTGCGGATTTCTGCACAAAACTACTTACTTTTTATTATAGTTATTGTTATATACCAATACAGCAAGTATGTTAATAATCTGATCCTGATACTAATCAAATGTTAAGTAAAATAACTATTTTAGGCTGAATTATTTCAGTAGTGATTTGTCAGATGTTTTTCTTCTGACAATCTATAGATTCAAATTCGATATTCAAAGCTTTATTGCTATATATGCAAATAAAACTTCATTGCACTGTGGAGTCATCCTGTCCTCTCTGAATGCTGTCCATAGGCATGAAATGCTTTAAAATAATAAACAAAAAGGTAAAACAAGAGAATATGATGTTAAGATGATGGTCAGTTACCAAGCAGCTGCAAAGCTTTTGAAATTGTCCTATGTTTGTTCCATTTTCTTTCTGTGTCTTTTCTCTTTTATCTCTTGCTGTTTTTTGGTTCATTCTTTTTTCTTAAAGTCTGTTCGCTTAATTGTCACCTAAAAAAATCCCTTTCGTTTTTACCTTTTACCAGCAGTAAGTTGTAATTATTTCAGGATAAAAACAAGAACAGGGTGTACGATGTTGTAGATGCTAGGAGGGGACAATAATACATTATATGCTCAGAATAAACATGTTGTGACTTTGCAGATATTTTCAGTCAACATGTCATTAAAATGTATTTCTGGCTGCATGTAGCTCTCACTAAATGTATTTGCATTAGACATTTGTATTATATTAACATGATTCCTAGGAGACAGAGCAGCTCAGTGGCCTAGCGGTACAGTGTGTGCCCTGAGACTGGGAGGTCATGGGTTCAATCCCCAGCTGGGTCATACCAAAGACTATAGAAATGGGACCCATTGCCTCCCTGCTGGGCACTCAGCATCAGGGGTTGGAATTTGGGGGGTTACATCACCACAGGAATCCCAAGCGCGGCACCGCTGTTGCTCACCGCTGCTGAGGGCCCCATAGCTCAGGGGATGGGTCAAATGCGGAGAACAAATTTCACACACTCAGGTGTGTGACAATCAGTGGGACTTTAACTTTAACTTTAAGAGCTGCTGGCCAAGCAGGCAGCAGAAATGTTGAAATGTAAAATGTTCCCATCTCTGATATAAACTGTGTAACAGACTCTCTGTGGTATTCTGATCCTCTGTGATGGACAAACTCTGCAACAAAAGCTTTGACATCAACCACATAGTCAGTGTGCCAGCTGAACCAAACAATGTTGTTGTGGGAGATGAGTTCTGATTTGGCTAAAGCTAGAGGCGACAGTGGCGAGGAAAAACTGCCTTTTAAAAAGGCAGAAACCTCGGGAGGAACCAGGCTATCTGGGGAAAACCCTTCCTCCTGAGGGCTGGGGAACATACTGCTGCGCCAGGATCACAAGACGAGATGGTGGTCTGTCAGCTTCACCTTCACCTGCAAAACAACAACAGACTCACCTGTGATGTCCCCATGGTTGCTCACCTGGACCAGATCTTCCTCTGGAGCTTGACAGATTAATTCCTGGATCATTTGCTGTAAGCTACTGAACCTCCAGGAATCAGGTTCAAAGATAGGTTAGTGAAGTCCTCCTCTCTGACGGATTGAGCACCACAGCTGCACAGCAATACACATTAAAAGAAAAATGTGTTTTATTTTCTTATTTGGGTGAACTGGCCTAAGCTAAAAATTCACAATAAGAGAGTAATGCAGTGGAGAGCTACTACCACATGCTGTTTGTTTCTCTAGGTGCTCTTACCTTTTGCATGTTCTGGTGTTCTGCATTTTAAACACCAGGTCTCTCTCCACAGGGCCGCTGTAGCTTGTTCCCACGAAGGATGCAACTTATGCAGCGGTGCAGCCAGACTCATCTGACCCAGGATGGTCGTCAGGAACTCATGGGCATCCTGAACATAGTTTGATGCACCAATGAGAAGCAATCAGCAGGCTGTGAAACATTAAACAGTTAAAAAGCACCCACACTCACCTGGACAGAGACGACCCTCTTGGACGACCCCCTAAGTTTTTGAGGGTCTGGAGTTTATGGCAGACATCTTTGGTGTCACAACATCTTACAGTGTCCATAAAGAGGCTGAAGAGAGTGAAGGAAAATGGTGGTTGTTATTTCATTCGCATATATACAGTGCCCTCCAAAAGTATTGGAACAGTGAGGCCAATTCCTTTATTTTTGTTGTAGACTGAAAATATTTGGGTTTGACATCAAAAGATGAATATGGGACAAGAGATCAATATTTCAGCTTTTATTTCCAGGTATTTACATCTGGATCTGATACACAACTTAGAAGATAGCACCTTTTGTTTGAACCCACCCATTTTTCATGACAGCAAAAGTATTGGAACATGTGACTGACAGGTGTGTTTTGTTGCCCAGGTGTCTCCCAATTACATTGATTATTCAAACAATAAATAGCACTGAATGTCTGAGCTCAGTTTCAGATTGGGTACGATAGGTTTTGCCTGTGCAGACTGCATTTAGAGGTGGAACCAACATGAAAACCAGAGAGCTGTCTATGGGTGAAAAAGAAGCAATTGTGAATCTGAGATAAGATGGACAATCAATCAGAGCCATTGCACAAACATTGGCCATAGCCAGTACAACCATTTGGAATGTCCTGAAGAAGAAAGAAACCACTGGTGTACTAAGCAACAGACGTCAAACAGGTAGACCAAGGAAAACATCAGCAGTTGATGACAGAAACATTGTGAGAGCTGTAAAGAAAGACCCTAAAACAACTGTTAGTGACATCAGCAACAACCTCCAGAGGGCAGGAGTGAAGGTATCACAATCTACTGTTCGCAGAAGACTTCATGAACAAAAGTACAGAGGCTACACCAGATGATGCAAACCACTCATTAGCAAGGCCAGGCTGGAATTTGTCAAAAGGTACAGAGATGAGCCTCAAAAATTCTGGGAAAAAGTTTTATGGACTGATGAGACAAAGATTAACTTTTTCCAAAGTGATGGAAAGGCGAAAGTTTGGAGAAAGAAAGGATCTGCTCATGATCCCAAACATTCAAGCTCATCTGTGAAACACGGTGGAGGTAATGTCATGGCTTGGGCTTGCATGGCTTCTTCTGGGACGGGCTCTTTCATCTTCATTGATGATGTAACACATGATGGCAGCAGCAAAATGAACTCAGAAGTCTACAGAAACATTTTGTCTGCTAATTTAAAGAAAGATGCAACCAAACTGATTGGGAGATCCTTCATCATGCAGCAAGATAACGACCCAAAACACACTGCCAAAACAACAAAGGAGTTCATCAGGGGCAAGAAGTGGAAGGTTTTAGACTGGCCAAGTCAGTCTCCAGACTTAAACCCAATACAGCATACATTTTACCTGCTGAAGGGGAGACTGAAGGGAGTAACCCCCCAAAACAAAAGACAACTGAAAGAGACTGCGGTGAAAGCCTGGAAAAGCATCACAAAAGAAGAATGCAAAGGTTTGGTGATGTCAATGGGTCACAGGCTTGATGCAGTTATTGAAAGCAAAGGATGTGCAACTAAATATTAAGTCTCATTCACTTTAATCTATTTTAAGTTTATATGTTCCAATACTTTTGCTCACCTAAAAATTTTGTGTTCCATTACAAATAATGCTATCTTCTAAGTTGTGTATCAGATCCAGATGTAAATACCTGGAAATAAAAGCTGAAATGTTGATCTATTGTCTCATATTCATCTTTTGATGTCAAACCCAAATGTTTTCAGTCTACAACAAAAGTAAACGAATTGGACTCACTGTTCCAATACTTTTGGAGGGCACTGTATGTATGCATGTATACACCAATCAGCCAAAACATTAAAACCAGTGGTGGGTGAAGTGAGTAACATTGATCATTTTGTTAAAATGCAATGTTACAATTTTTACAGAAGTCTTTACAAAAACTTAAGATATACTTAATTATAATGATAATGATAATAATAATCCTTATTGTCAGAAATGCTGACATCTGCCTTTGGCTTCACTGCTTGGTTAAAATGCATATAATGAAATCACAATACACACGATAGGCCTAAATAACAGTCGCAGACACAGTACGGATGACAGTAACGGACGTGTTTCCAGAGTGAATGCTGTTTACGGATTTAGCAAAGTAACTGAACAGTTCAAGCTTTTAAATATGTGCTCCCTTTGTTATGCACACAAGCAGAAAGGAAGACATAGTAAGAAATAAAACTGTAATACGTATATCCACTTTTAACTGTCTCGGTTTATGCATGAAATAGGCTTATAGTAAATCTTTCTTAAAAAATAGCATGTTTTCAAATTGTCAGTTTAGCATCTATTATTGCTCTTATATATTTAATATATTTGGACTGTGTCTTTAAATGATAGAGTTGACTTATTGGATGCTAATTCACTGTAATTTTGCCAAAGAAATTAATTCCAGTAAAGTTTTATTCTGCTGTCTTTATCATGCCGTAAGAGTAAAATCATTTTCCACCATTTTGTGTCGTACTTAAAATTATGTTCGTCACAATTAAAGCTTCACACGAGAGAAAAGGTTGTAGAAATTTTCTGAAATTCATTTTATACTGTATTACTAATGACCCCAATAACCACCACAGATAGTTGGCCCTGCATGTGTTTACTTGTTGATTCAGGTGTGACAGTGGACACATTAAAAGAGCCCAGATGTTTCTACACCGCTGCTGTGGGAGACACTTATCCCATCTTGTCCCATGGTGTCCCGTCTTGCCACGTCCTTGCTGTGTGTCTTAGGTCAGGTCGAGTTAAGCTGGTCTGCAGCATCAGAGACGTGCAGACAGCGACACTTAGCGGCTAACACCATGAACAACAACGGACTGCAAAATGCGGAGTTGCAAAGTTTGTCCCTTCCGACTTCCTGTTGGACGGCGCTGTCATGGCTGCCACTATGATGGTGAGTTACCCTTCAAATGTAAACTAATTATTACTCATATAATTGTCAAACCTTTTATGTAACGTCATTTCTTTTAATGGCAGACTATATAGAGCATGTAACGAGACCGTTAATAGATATGTTGCGTTCACTGTCGTCTGAATTTTAGCTAGAAGGCTGTAACTTAGGCTACTGATAGAACATGCATATGGCTGTAAATTAACGTTAAGCTAAATTTAAATTTTAACTCAGTTTTAGTCGCCTTATTACAGCTTTTTACAGTCGTTAATGCCCTTTTATCCAACCTGTTGTCACATTTGAATCTCTAAACACAATTAGCACAACACCCGTCTGTTGTGGACCACACCAGTAACACAATTCATGTTGGTTTAACAGAATATGCAGTTTTGACATGCTTAAATATTCTTTACATACAAGCTTACCCAGTACTAAAACTATTGGTCCTTCTAGTCTTATTTACAAATGCTTGTACACAGCATGGCAGAAATTAAAACATATTAAAATATACTATGGTATAAAGTCTCTATTCAATCCAACTGATGAGCATTTTCAATGAACAGATCATTAAAACAAAACTAAATAGCTTATTTATAGGGGTGGGAATCACCAGAGGCCCCACGATACTACCATGATATTATCACGATTCTGAAGTCACGATACAATAATATTGGGATTTACAATTTGCTGAGTTTTGCGGTAATATATATTGCAATATGTTGATATTTATTACTACAAATAACTACAAATTATGCACCCAAAAGAAAACTTTGTCAGCAGCTGTTTTATCTGACAAGATAACATGGTTCCCATGGTCATGGAAAACCTGGAAAAGTCATTGAATTACACTTTACAGGCCTGGAAACATTAATGGAGTCAGTAGAAATAACTGGAAGTTTTGGAAAAGTCTAACATCTGTATAATGTTAAAGATAGTCTTTCAGGGCTGCAGCTTTGACAAAGTGTCTACATGACTAATAACAGATTAAGGGTTTCAGACAACAAAGGCACTGTGAGCATCAGGACATGAACGCTTTTATAGACATCTGTAGTTTTTTATTTCTCATATGCTTTATTTAGACATGAACTGAGGATGAGGATAGTAGTCACAGTTTCCTGCCATGTCCTTCCTCTCAATCTCTCTTCTCTGCCTCTCTGTACAGTCTCTACACAGATGTTGCCAGCGGTCGGCGCTCCTCCTTGTTGCCCAGCGACGGTGCAGCTCCAGCTCAGTGTCTCCCACTCCTCTGCACACAAGGCTCCTCCTCTACCTCACTCAGCGTTTCTATGATGTGGAGATGCTCCTGAGCTGGGGGTCTAAGATGAAGATGAGGGGGATTCAGAAGAAGAATGCGTAAGAAAAACATTTTTGGTTGTCTTGAACGTGGAGATGCATCCATACCACTGCTGCTGCTGGTGTCTGTTGCCAGAGGCGTAGGTTTCATTTCAATACTGGGATAGGGAACATGTGAATACCTAATACCTAATTTCCTGCATTCTGGTGAATATTTTTGCATCAATTTTTGCCTTCTGTGCATCAAAAGAAGGAGAGACTCATTTATATGTTTTAGATATCAAGTGGTACGTGTCCCCTGCATCACCTTCAATATGCACACCTGAGAAGTGTGTGACTGACTGCGTCATGTTTAAAGCAGTTGTCAAGTACCTCATAAATGCCTTCCTTTGTATTATAGCCAAATTAAAAATCAATGCACTAAAATAAAAAACACAAAAATGTATATATTTTATATTAATAGCTGAATGTGCATGTAATAAGTTAAAATATGACATGGATTTGTAATGGTTATCATAAATAAACTATTCTTCAGGCTGTGTGCTCGTTGTTAGTGTAGTTATCTCACCATCGCTGACTTTTCCCTCCTGTCGTTCACAGTTTCTTTGGCTACACTCAGACGTTTTATGGTTCAGACATAGCATCAGCGTATTACATCTTGAGTCTAAAGGGAGGATTTAGGTAAGTGCCTTGTTCCCTTGCCTCTGCACAGTTTGTCACATGCATACACTGCAGACCTTTTTTTGGTTAGTTTGTTTTATTTCTGCTCCTGTCAGTCTTCAGGTTGTACTTAGAAATATTAGGGGGTAGGTGATCACACAATTTATTTTACGACAAAAACGTCATGATGAAAGGCAGCTACTGTTTCTGAACCTATTTATGGGTGTAGCATTATGATTTATGTCTTTCTGTATGATGTAAATTGACTGCGATCAAGCATTTAATTTATGTAGGGCTGCAAGTAACAACTGTTTTCACTGCTGAGGAATCTGCTGCTTGAAATATTTCAATCAATTAACTGTTTGGTTCATAACATAAATTGTTATGTCCGAAAAATGTTGTAAAAACCCAGAGATACTGAATTTACGATGATATGAAACAGAGGAAAGCAGAAAATCCTCACATTGAAAAGAAGAAAGTTTGGAGTTTTGGCTTAAAAATTATGATTATTCTTTTACTTAAATAGGTAATTAATTTTCTGTGGATCACCTTATTGATATGGAATTAAATTTAAAGTCTTTGAAACTCATACCGTAACAGACGGACCTCAGGTACGAGATCGGCTGCCTGTCAGATGAGCTCAAATGCATTGAAAACATTCAAACAGATTCTGTGGTTCCTACTTTTTCTGTTAGTATTAACAAATTTAGTTTTTGTCTGCAGTGTTAGTGTTTTGCAGTATGTTTGTATATAATCTGCATGTAATTTATCAGAGATAACACTTTGATAGTTGTGTGTCAAATGCGCTCAAATGCTGTTTGTGTTACAGTTGTTGTGTCATTGTCTGTGCTGTGTCCTCAGGTTTGTCGGCCAATCAGAGTGGTTTCGTGCAGACAAGAGGGGCAAGTTCAGTTGGGCCTTCTTGGATCACAAAAACACACCCCTAGAGGAAGTAGACATGAACTACACAGTGATCAACTACACAGGACTGGGGAACCTGGGTAATGAGCTCCAACTCTGCCTTGCTTTTCCAGTTTCTCTTCTTTTTCCTCACATGGTCACTACTGTAATCTAATTTTCTCTCTGCGTCAGGCACATGATCTGTTACTTTATTTCAATAATATGAAGCATGCAAATTGAGTGTTTTTGATCTGCTTTGTCCTCCCTCAGAGGGTCAGAATTGTTTGCGGACTCTGTCATTACGAGGTTGTCCTGAAGTGGACGACTGGTTCCTGGCCAGGCTCCACATGTTTCAGGACTCTCTGGAGGAACTGGACATCTCTCACTGTCCACACATCACTACAGGTGGCCTGGCTGCACTCAGGAATCTCAAGTAATTATCAAAAGACCCACAACATAGCCTTGTTAATATTACCGAAACGCTACTCTGTATTTAGTCCCTCCCTTGTTGTGCTGCTGTTGCAGAGGGCTGCGGCGTCTAGACGTGTCATCCCTCCCTGGGATTTCGCATCCTGGGTTGGTCATCATCCTGCTGGAGGAGATGCTACCACAGTGCCAGATCACTGCTACTGGCTACAACCACAGCCTGATGCAGGAAGGAGAGGGGAAGGAGGAGCATATGGAAGGGCAAAGGTAGGCAATGGGCAGGGACTCGGAGGAATCAAGAGACTTTAAGGAGACAAAGAATCCTCTGAGAGAGCTTTGCCATCAGGTCACTGTAGTCTGATGAAAAGAGTGCTGCTGACGGAGCAACGACACATCTGAAAGAAACATCTGACCTAAGAATTGGAGAGGTAGTAAGTAGGATTTTTTGAGCAATAAAGCTGTCGCAGCTTATTTTCGATATCAGACCAAACCAGTTTGCTCTTTAGAGAGATGTGACACACCACTGGCAACATCTAAAGCCCCGTTTCCACCAAACACTTTCGGTATGGTGCCTTTGGAACCAAAGTAGCCCTTCAGACATGGTACCTAGACCCTTGTGTTTCCACCGCAAACAGTACTCTTAAATGTGGGCAGGGTTGTTGTTACTCACTGCTCCGTCCAGCACCTGGTTTATTGTCCACAGAACGAGGCTGCACGCCGACATTTTCAGAACAAAATAGAACAGGCTGCATCCCATATTCCATGGGATATTTAAAAATAGCGGGATGCATGTAGTCCTTCTAAAGCAAGCTTGGGGGTTTAGTGTTGCCGTAGACCACAGGAACAACGCTCTGCGATGCTTTTTTATTCCTCCAAGTGAGGATGAGAATATATGCAGTTCACATAATCCATTTGAAATCAATATGTATAAGTGCGTGAATATCCACTCAAAATGTGTTGATGAATTGACGTCTTCACCTCATGCATTGCGGAACATTACAAGTAAATGTTCCACCCTAAAAGTTGCCGGCAGTCGTCCCAGTGAATTCAGTTATTTTTTTCTCAGACTCCAGCTGCTGTGAGAGGCAGCAAAACATCCTTTCATTTTATAGTTACAGTTTACTAATAAAACTCCACAGTATGAACAGTGGTTACATGAGCCTCAAAACCAGACACAACTCAGCCCTGAGCAGAGTGACCGTCCTCTACTGACCAATCAGACTGCAGTGTTCACAGCTCCACCTTTTAGTACCAGATCTGTGTGCTAGGTACCCCAACAGAGGGGGGACCAAACATGGGGATGGTGCAGAACGGTTCTATTGGTGCCATCCACAACTTTTCACAGTGGAAAGGGGGGAAAAAAGCGTACTAAACTGTACTGTACTGTACTGCTTGGAGGAAACGGGGCTTAATTAGATACAAGCTTGTGTAAAAGAGATAATATAGCAAGCATGGAACAAACTTGTACTGTCTTAATTTTGTCATCTGTCTGCACCGTTATGATGTGAATCTCAATCTACACAAAGTCATATCTGCCTCAAGCAAAATACACTTTGTCTGCACAGTGGTAATTGTCTTATGTGCTGGAATGTAAATATTATTCTAAATATTCTGAATAAAGATTTTATTGTTTAAAATCAAATTTATTGTAAATGTATTACTTTTACCTGTGAATTCACAACTCATGTTTAACAGATGAAGAAAACCACGTGGCCACACATCTTAATGTGTCTGTATATTTCTAATCTTCACTGTGGAAGCTTATGTGAGGAAACTAAAGCCCATAATCCAGTATGAGCCTTGTGCTGCAGCAGTGTCAGACCCTACAGTGGGTGGATGAAGACACAAGAGTGAATGGGGATGAAGAAACCGCTGATACTCTTGTATGTAAAGACACCATCTACAATTATTTAGTAGCCAGTATTGATGTGAACAGAACTAGTGCTACTTCACACCGCCTGTTAGATAGTAATGCCTATTTAAATTAGTCATTCTTCACGTTACCTATTATTAAGACTTAATTTATTGATGTTTATTGACATTTACCGGAACATAAAGTAGTGAGGTCTGCGGTAGGAACCATGCGTCATGGTAACTAGGTCACAACAAACACGGAATGTGTTTCTGACGGACAACAACACGACGGTCCAGCTGAGAGCTAACTGAAGTGAATACCGGTCGTAACTTCGCAAAATCTGGGATTTAAAATAGTTGTCATTCGGACCCTTGTGGTTAAAGGGTCTTAGTAGACGGATAAATGTCTGATGCAGCAGGTAAGAAGAGTGTCTAATGTGCAGATTGAGTTAAAACTTCGACATTCTGACGGCGCTACCGAGCTAGCTAGTTTAGCTAGCTATAATGCTAACAGCTCACTTAACACGGAAAAACATTTGTTGCGGCGGACTTTGACCTGGCATTTAATTTTACATTTGTAGAGCTTCCTAAAAAAGAAGAAGAAGAGGAGGAGGTTACACCTGAACCAGAGGTAAGAAAATAAATTAACTGCAGTTGTGAGACCGGGGCTAGTGACTTGTTACTCGGCTGCCACTCAGAACAAAGCAGTCATCTGTCATCGTGTGACTAACGCAGATCTTGGGTGAAGAAAGCAGCCATTCACAGCAGGTCCACTGCGCACAAAGTCACTGGTTTTAATGTCAGTATTTTGTTTATTGTAGGAACAATCTGACGACGACAGCAGTGGGGAAGAGGCAGCAGGAGACACCGAGAGTATGTGGAAACAAATAATCCGAAACATGCAGTGATGCAAAAAATAGACAACAAGGTCATACTGTTGTCAAGTCAATACCACATTTGTTGCATTAATACACTATTAATAATGTCATGTTTTACACACACATGCAATCATGCTACAAATTTAGTGCTTATTGAATTTGACATTGAATTTCTCCTCAGGGGGATTAATAAAGTGAATAAACTTAAAAACTTAAACTTACATTTATTATTTTATTAATTAATTGCTGAAATATTCTCCCGTATTGCTTTTGTCCTCCTTTGTTGTTGTGTTTCTGCTAGTGGACTTTCTGCGCAACCTCTTCTCCAGCACCCTGGGCCTGGGCTCAGCAGAGAAAGTCCTGGATGAGCTGACCCTGGACGGGGTGGCGCGATACATAAAGAGCGGCAAATGTGAGTCTCTGCCTGCTTCCAGTCAGCGCATCCATTACGGCTGACCACAGTGGCTTGATTACATGCTCACAAGCCTGTTATCATAAAGCACTTATTTTTTTATTTAAGTGAGTGGTCTGTCTACATCCACACAGGTAAAAACATCATCTGCATGGTTGGAGCAGGAATATCCACATGTGAGTTTCTCGGATTTAAGTATTTGAAAGTATTAAACTACTTTCTTTTTGTTTGTATCATGTGTTTCAATCTGTAACCCTTGACACCATCTCCACCCACAGCGGCTGGGATCCCTGATTTCCGCTCACCAGGAACTGGCCTGTATGCAAACCTGCAAAAATACAACCTGCCTTACCCAGAGGCCATCTTTCAGATAGATTACTTCAAGGTGTGTGAAAGATTGTTTGAAAGTTTGAAGAGTGACACAGTAGAGCATAAAATTGCTTTCTCAGGGGCTTCAGGAATTCTTGACAGTTTTGACACATAATCAAAATTAATATTAGAATGGTAATTATTTCCTAATTAATTAAGTATTTAGCCAAGAAGCCAAGTCTCCTGGATTTCTGTTTTAATGCAGTGTCATGCCAGATGCCAAGAACATGCCGATTTTAGGTTGTTACTTTTAAGAAAAGCCTCTGAAAGTCATTGAACAGTCAAATTAGAGTGTCAGGACCTTATCCTAAACTCAGGAACAAAAACACTGAACACTAAACCTCAGTTTTCCAGTATGATGTGTCACTGCACTATGGCTAATTGCTAAGTACACCCTTGTACATGTATCTGAAGACCGTCCTGTTTTATGATGTGAGGCAGTGCCTACTTCACTCTTCACTGTCGCTACAGGAAAATTAAACATTTTTCTATAACATCTTAATTTCTCAGAAACATCCAGAACCTTTCTTCGCCTTGGCCAGGGAGCTCTACCCAGGGCAGTTTAAGGTACAAAACACTTGCTGCCTTGTATGTCTCATATTAATCCTTAAAAATTGTTAAAAAAGAAAAATAGATTGAAACATCAGCTGCCTCACAGATGTTCGTTCTCTTGTGTGTGACTTTTATCGGTTTAGCCCACAATCTGTCACTACTTCATAAAGCTGCTGAAGGACAAGGGGTACCTGAGACGCTGCTACTCACAGGTAAGAAAAAGCCCACTCCACATGCTGCACGTTGAATCTTTCCATGTTTGTTTTGACATTGATTTGTGTGTTTTCGCACAGAACATTGACACCCTGGAGCGCGTGGCCGGGCTCGAGGGAGAGGATCTAATTGAAGCTCATGGAACGTTCTACACGTCCCACTGTGTCAGCTTCTGTTGCCGCAAAGAGTACAACCTGGACTGGATGAAAGGTGCCTTTTCATTTTGTTTAACTTTAGAGAGCCTGGGAGTATTGATTATTGATTACTGTTGTTGTGATATCAGCCATCTTGGACTTTAACCTCTGCCCTCTGCTTTGTAGAGAAAATCTTTTCTGATGACATCCCCAGATGTGATAAGTGCAGCAGTTTGGTCAAGCCAGGTCAGGAGATCTTTGACTTCCTATCTTGTTTTTGTTTTGTTTTTTTGTCGTTTTAGTTGTGTTAGCTTGTCTTGTGTAATTTCACCATCATCGTCATCTTTAACAATCTCTGTGTCCCTTATGTCTCTTCACCCAGATATCGTCTTCTTTGGAGAGAACCTACCTGTCCGATTCTTCACCTCAATGAAGATGGTGAGCACGTGGTTGTTTTCAAGCGTGTGTGCATGTTTGAAGAGAATGTGATGTAACATCTCTGCTGAAATAAACTCTCATCGTCTTTATTTACCCGTCAGGACTTCCCTCGCTGTGACCTTCTCATCGTCATGGGGACGTCTCTGCAGGTCCAGCCATTTGCAGGCCTAGTCGGCAGGTACTGCAGAGTTTCATATTTCTAAAATCTGCTGCTGACCACAGACACTGCTGCAGTATGGATCTGGCAGTAGAACAGCCAGTGAGACTGTCCTGCATTATAAAACATTCAGGCTTGTTTCCAGCAATAATCTCATGGTCTTTTTGGAGTGTCTGAACACGATGCTGAGCGCCTGCTCACCCACATTATGGAATTTATCGTACATTACTCTGGTTTAGAGCTTCGGTTGAATTACTGTAATATTGTTTAAGTAATTGTGTCCCCATCTTTGTGTCCTTCCCTGTGTTTCTTTGTCATTTAGGGTTTCAAAGAGCTGCCCCAGACTGCTCATTAACATGGAGAAGGCAGGGCAGGTGAGCCTTCACCCTTCCATCAACCTCTTTCTGCCTTTACCTTTTTTTGTTCTGTCATAGATGTATGTCTAAGATTGTCTGTGCAGTATTGTTTATATGGTTCTCTGTGCAGGCTGATCCTCTGTTTGGGTTGCTGGGTTTTGGAGGAGGGATGGACTTTGACTCAGACAAGGCATACAGGTGATAAAGAGATGATGTTTTTTTCCCTCTCCTCTGTTTTACCATATCACCTTTCTCTT